GACTCGATGGCACCTGACAACAACAACAACTACAGACAGCCCAGTGGGCTACAGTGGCTGCCTAGCTTTCCCACAGTTAGGCTCTGCTCCCAGCCAAGCACACGCCCCGCTCTCTACCATGGGCAAGGACCTCAAAGTCCCTGTTGTTAGGTGCTGTCTAGTTGGTTCCGACTCAGCAATCCCATCTGTGCACAACCCAACGAAACACTGCCCAGTCTTGCTCCATCTGCTCAGTTGTTGTGACACTTAAGCCCATTACTGCTATCTCTGTGCCAATCCATCTCGTTGGGGGTCATCGTCTTTTTCACTGACCCTCCACTTTACCAAGCATGATGTCCTTCTTCAGGAATTGGTTCCTCCTGACGACATGTCTAAAGTACATGAGGATTCCGGCTGTACTTCTGCTAGATGGATTGGGTGGCTCTTTTGGCAGGCCATGGTATAATCAGTACTCTTTCAGTACGTCATCTCGTCTCTGGTCTTATTTACCCCTGGTTCTGCTTTTACGTGTGTGTGAGATGATTGAAGGTACCCTGGTTGGGTTAGGCGCGCCTCATCCTCAAGGGGATGTCATCGGTCTTGAACGTGTTACATAGATTTTTGCAGCAGATTTGCCCAGTGCAAATGTTTTGATTTCTGCTTCCATGGGTGTTGACTGGATCGGAGTATGAAATGAAATCCTTGACAACGTCAAGCTTTCTTCATACTGGCTTGTAACCATAGGGAAGGCTGTTACCTCTGGTCTTCATCAGTAAGTGTTTCAAGTCATTTTTACTTTTAGTAAGCAAGGTTGTGCCCTACCTACTGCAGGTTTTTCCCGAGTCTTCCTCACGTCCTGATCTGTGTTACCAGGTTATATGCTGCAGCTGCAGTGAGCGCATGCCCTGTAGCACGTGTGGAAAGAGACTGGGGAGGGGGGAGTAAGAGTGTAAGCCCCCTGCCAATGTGGGCTGTGCGAGGCAGTGTCTCCCCGAAGGTGTGCGTTAGTAGGGATGGACCCTGTGGGGTGCAGTGATACCACGTCCACGTGGCTGACCATCCACAATGAAACAGGAAGCTGTGCCGTTGGACGTCACACAGATGCCCTTTTCTACATAGCCAGTTCCCCAGCAGTCCGCTCATCTGACGCCCTCTGATCCTGCCGGGCAGGCTCTGCATTGGGAGCCCCATCAAGACTCTGTTCATTTGGGCAGAGGGTGAATGGGAGGATGCGGAGAGGTGGTGGTGCTGTCCTGATTACCACCCCCCATTGGTGTGGCTGCTTCCTGGTCTTGGGCACCTACTGTCCCTGAGCTGGAAGCCCATGAGTGTCCCAGCACAGCCACCTGGAATCCCTGGGCCGGAAGGAGGAAGTAGAGGAGGAGGCCCTGTGGGGATTGGGGTGTGTTGTGAGTCTGTCTCCTCATTCACTCTGGGGATTTGGGGTCTTGTGAATCATTAGGAGAAATAAAAGGAGAGCTACTTTCCTTTAAAACACACACGCACACACACACACAGACACACACACACAGACACACACACACACCCCTAAACCTTATGTGACCATGGATGTATGCGGCTGAACGTTGTTGGAATAGACCCTGTCCTTAGCACTGAGCTTGCTTCGTTACACTTCTCTCCCATCTGTCCAGCCCCATCAATCTTTTAAGTGTTTGAAGCATCTCAAATAATTTGTCTACAGCATGGAAACTGTTATCTAGAACTCATTGCTTTATGTTGTTTTTCATGCAAGATTAAATGTACACATGACACACTGTACCAGGTGAAATGTACATATGACACACCGCACCAGGTGAAATGTACACATGACACATCACACCAGGTGAAATGTACATACGACACACCGCACCAGGTGAAATGTACATGTGACACACCACACCAGGTGAAATGTACACATGACACACCGTACCAGGTGAAATGTACATACGACACACCGCACCAGGTGAAATGTACATGTGACACACCGCACCAGGTGAAATGTACACATGACACACCACACCAGGTGAAGTGTACATACAAGACACTGCACCAGGTGAAATGTACATGTGACACACTGCACCAGGTGAAATGTACACATGACACACCACACTAGGTGAAGTGTACATACAAGACACCGCACCAGGTGAAATGTACATGTGACGCACCGCACCAGGTGAGATGTATATGTGATGCAACACACCAGGCTTCAGGGCACTGTTATTCCTGACATGTCTCCACACTTGTCTGCACTGCTGAACCACTGATGTCCCGTTGTCACCTCACAGGGTCTTGACACTGCTCACAAGCAGAGAGTGGCTGAGGTGCTCAATGACCCTGAGAGCTCGGAGAAGAGGCGTAGCCGGGAGAGCCTCCACTCGGACGTGGTCAAGTACGAGAGCGGGCCTGACGGCGGCGAGGAAGTGAGTATGAGCGTAGAGTGGAATGGGGTAAGTACAGTCCACAGTTGGTGTGGGGCAGTGGGGCTGGCTCACTGGGCCTGGGGAAGGCTTTCACGGTAGAACGAAATGTGTTGCTGGTTCCGTGGTAACATCTTCATTGTAGGAGCCCAGGAAAGCAGGCTGGCTTACTTGAGCACTTAGATGCTGATTGAGTGTCCTGGTTATTTAAAGCAGAATCCCAAGCTGGTTCCATTTGGACCTGAGGATTAATGTGTCCCATAACTAACCTCTTCGTGACTCACCCATTTTCATTGCTAACCTTGGGACTCCTTATTTTACTGAGCAGACAGCTGCTGCCAGCCCCTTAGAATTCACTAAAGCGCCTTTAAGAGGGAGATGATGTTTAAAATAGAATTTTTTTTTTAATGGTTTAAGTGCAAAAGTGCTGGGCTGGCGGCTATTCTTTTAAGTTCCACATGTTCCCCACGAGGGTGGTCTGGTGCCATCACTCTCCTGTTATTGCCATAGCAGATCCCCCCACCTCCCCACTCTGCCCATAAGGCTCAAAACCCCTAGCGTGTATCTGGTGGTTACAGAGCATTTGACCCGTGAAGAACTGGTCTGGTCCCTCTGGAACTGGCCTTGATCCGAGACGGTAGGACAGAGGCAGGCTTAGCTGGATGCAGGTGCGCTGCTTGCAGCTTAGACGTGGCCGGAGCCGAGTTTGCTTCATTGAAACAGTGCAGTAGTCTGCGCTTTCTTAGCAATCAACTGATGTCACTATTGGAATCTATTTATTTTTGAGGATTTTCTATACCTGTACCAATTTGGTGTAAGAGCTAGCATTCGAAATAAATAATTTTGTATTAAAAAAAAAAAACCCTTAACAGCCGTAGTTTTCTGGAGCAAGTTCTGTTGACTGAGCTGGCAGCTTTCTTGGCTGTGCCAAGACAACCAATCAGCATCTGTCCCGACCGTCAGCCCTGTTGGGCAGCAATCCAACGTGAAATACCATGTAGTTCTTCTGTGGCTCCTTGCTGTTAACTGTGCACTGTACTCCCCCTGGGGGGTGGTGGACCTGCATGCCAGGGTCCCTTCTCTCTAGCCGTTGGAGGCAGGCTGCGGATGGGGGCTCCTCAGGGAAGTTCTGGATGGGCTTCTTGAGACAGTATTTCTAGGTCAGTGTTTCTGTGAAACATGATCATCCCACTGTGGACCACCCCAAGTTCTACTGCTGTCTTAGAGTACAAGTCAGGGGTTAAGGAGACCCCCAAGTTGGTGTGTGGATATCCAACTTTGTGGGGACAGTGTGTCGACGGGTGTGTCTCTGTTTCCCGTTCCCTTTGGACATACTGCTGGAGCGTATTCATGACTTGATTACCTTCATGACTTGATCATACGTGAGTGTTACTCTAGAACCTTCATTGCTCCAGGGTACTCAGTGCTCGATTACTCTCAGTTTTCTAGGGTCCTCATGCTCTAGCATGTCCAGTGTACCACACTCAGCCTCCACTACTCTTGTTCACTTGGGGCCACTCAGGCCTCGATTACGCTCATACTTTAGCACCCTCGTTACTGTAGGACCTCCCACTCCAGGACGTTCCTCACTAGTCAAGGACACGCAGTATTGATGGTGCTCCTACGCTGTGTTCTCGTATCCTGTTTAGAAGGACTTTCCTTAGGAATTGATGTGCAGTGTGTGAGCCTGATCTGAGACACTGAGTCACTCGACAGCTTTGATCGAATCCAGCCCACGTTTGCCAACATAGAGACTGTCAGTCTTACATTCCTTAGCCCAGTGCTCTCTGAGGGACCTTTTCTTCATGTGGAGTCTAGCCCACCGCAGGTATAAGGGGACCTGCCTGAGAGCTCCAAGGAGGTGCTGCTGAATTGGGATACCCTAAGAAGGACGTTGAAAGCTGTATGTACACAAGGTGGCTTTTAGCTCTCCTTTGGAGAGGCTCGGCTGGCTAGCTCCCTGTCCTGTGTGATGTGTCCTGCCAGCCTCAGACCCCAGCGCCCTCAGCCAGCCCTTTAAAGCATGGCCCTTTGCAGTGGCTTTAAGTAACCACTGAAGCAGAGCAAGATACGTCTCTGCCCAGAGCCCTAAGGAAGGCTCGTGACCTTTTCCTTTGTTACTGGATTGATTCCACCAGGACTCCTGGTACACAGCATGCACCGCCCACGCTCATTCAGAGTCTGTCACTCAGTGACAGTGATGGCTCCCCTCAGCTCTTCCTCCCCCAGTGACATCACTCCCTCCCCTCAAGGTTCCTGTCTTGTCTTTGGAGTTTCTGTGGTCAGTATGATCCCATCTAGAGAGTGCTTAAGGAGCACGATGCTTGAGGCAGACAATTTTCCCAGGTAAACGAATGATTGCTTGGCTCTAAGATTTCGGTTACTGTTGTTGCTTTAAGTCGTAAAGATGACCTCAGAGTCATTTACCCTTCATGGATCCAGAGAGTTTGAGATTCTGTTTTGCATATTTTCCCTTTTGATCAGGATATTCAGTGGTGGTAGCCTGGCATTTCCTCCTATTTCTGACTTTCTCTCCACTTTGTTGCTCCAGGTGAACAGAGACCAGTTGTGTCTTGAATGGCGTTGAAGAGCTTTTAGGATCTTGTTCCTAAGTGCTTGAAATCAACATTCAGACAAGGGTGACAGATGGTGTGGGCAGACTAGGTGATAGTCCCTGGTCCTGGGGAGACTAGGAGCTCTTGTCAGCCTGAACTGAGCCCAGGTGAGGCTCTAGGAAGTACGTAGCGTCGCTAAGTGACACGTCCTCAGACTCCCTGTTGTTGTGCAGAGTCCGGATCTGTGGGCCCTGGTCCAGATGACTCGGAATCACTGATTTTTGTGGTCCTGCTTTTGAAACCTCACATGCCATGTGCAGAGCCGTCCTTTTCTGGAGAAAGTTGCTTCCTCAGCCTTTGTACACAGCTCCTTTTCAGACGGGTGTCTGGGTCCTCATGGGGCCTGTGAGGGAGACTGTCCAGCCAGTGGTGTTCACAGGGAATTGGGCTTTCAGGCACCCTCCTGTGTGCACACTGGGGCCCATCTGTCTCCCACTCCTGCCTCAGGGCCTTTCCCAGGGAGCCTCACCTGCTCAGCCTGCCCCCCACCCCCGTCTTAATGTTGGGTGGTGAGATATACTTATTTTAATTACAACTAGAACATATCAGAAACAAAAAATACTGACCAAATAGGCATCTCAGATCCGTAGATAATGCTCAGTGTTTTTCTTATCTGAGAGCTGACTTTGTTTCCAATCTGTTCTCGTACGAGACTCTGAACGCAGCATTTCCTGTGTCTGAGGAAGTTTGCGCTTCTCCAAACTCACCGAGCCGGCCCCAGTAGAAGCAGCAGCTTGTGGGTCAGGTTCCTTTTTTGTTGCTGAGCGTTTCATTAACTCAGTTCCTGGTACCATTCTGTTCAGAATCCACTTCTCCCACGTCAGTGTGAGTGTGAGGGCTGAGGGACACGTGCAGCCCCAAGCTACGTGTTGAGCTATTAACTGAAAGGTTGCTGGCCGGAGTTCCCCGGCTTCTTTCTGGGAGAAGGCTGAGGCAGTCCACCTTGGTAATGATTTGCAGCCTTGGGAACCTCTGGGGCAATTCTTGTTCCTACAAGGACGCATTGAGTTGCATTTGAGGCCCATGCTAAAGAGAAATAGGTTGAAGTTTGGGCTGGGGGCCCTGAACCCATGCCTCCAGGGCCACGTCGGGGCTTAGGAAGAGCGGTCATATGGATGCAGCCCATCTCTGACCAGGACCGTTGCCCCTGCCCCTCTGCCACTCACAGGGTCTTGTCCTGAAATGCCGCACTTACTTCTGTTTTCTTACTCCCCCACATCTCAGGGAGTTGGTAACAAGTCTTGTTTTTCCATTTAAAGATGAGAAACGTGAAGCTCGGGCTGGTTAAATGACCTGCGTCCCGTGGTGAGTCAGACCTGGTGGGCGCAGGGCCGCTGCCTCCGGAAATCCGTTTCCTGAATTCATACCACGTCCACTCCCCTGCCCCCTGCATGCTCCAAGTGTGCCGTAGACTTCAGTCAGTCTTTCTGAAACGTGTAAGGTGTTAGTGCTGTTAGTGGCTGAAACCATGCCTGCTTGGCTGAAGCAGGCTTCTGAAGGGTGCTCTACTGTGGGGGGCCCAGCTTCGGTCCCCATGGAAGGGTCCACTGCAGACACTCCTAAGCGGTCAGCAGTAAGTATGGCGGAGTGCAGCGTTTATTGAACTTCACTGGCTGTTAGCAGGAGGCGAGTTTAGATGAGAGGAGATTTAGCAGAAGGTCCAGTTTCACACTCAGCTGACAAGCAGTGAAGGGGACCCTAAACACTCAAGCAACGAAAGACGCTGCTGAGGCCTTCTGACCTAGAAATACTGTGAGCGGGGCGTGGTGGGGTGTGGGCATCTTCTCGGGATGGGCTCACGGGACTCTCTTCATTTCTGTCTGACAGGCCTAGCCACCTTGTGGCCCCTCGCTGTCCCCTGCATGACGGCGCAGCGCCTGCAGCCTCTCCTTCCTCCCAGCACTGACTGCCCTGCTTAGCCACCTAGGACCTGTCAGAGCGCCACTCTGCCTCTGGCTGCCCCTCCGGCCCCACTGTCCTTGCCGGGTTCTTGTTTCTGTGTACTCGTAGCTTTGCCAGAAATGTACTTAGTTCTCTCCACTGTACTAATAAAAGCATTTACTGTGTAGCACCTGGCTCAGACATGATAACAAGGTCTCCATGAGGTGTCCATGCTGGCCGGCATGGTGGTGACTATGACGCCCCCTGTGGTCTGAGCCTGGCTGTCCCACGTAGGAACCCCCTGATGTAGCCTCTGCAATTAAGTCTTTGTGGGCAATTTTGCCAATTCTGCTTTTCTCTACTAATCTCTTCAGTGTTGAGTGATTTGTGTATTTGTGTCTTTCTAACTTCTAATAAACTTACTCCGACTGACCATGGTCTCTGTGTTTGTCTGCTTCCTAGAAGCCCTTCTCACTGCTCTCGTAGCTCGGCCAGCCTGCTCGCAGCAGCGGGTGTTCTGCTTACTCTATTGAGTGACCCAGTTGAGGGATAAAACTTCCTTGACTTGGGTTTTTTGCTTTTTGGTATCTGGAAACTGCTAAATATTTAATGTATCTGTGTCTGAATCAGTGAAATGGGAGGTCGGCCACTCTTCTGCCTTGCTGCTGACGAGGTGTTTGGGGCTTTTTACTGGTTTAGAATACACGTTTCCTAACTGTATTTGTAGTTACCATTTAACGAAGCCATTTTATCCCAGCTTGGGAGAAAGCAGTAATGGAGAGTGTTGCGTTTCTGAGATACTGTTAGGTGGCTTGGTGAACTGTATGTCAGAACCTCACACATTCATTAAATGTGGAATTGGTTTTGATAATTATTAGAAGCTGCCTTAAATGGCTTGAGACTTTTTCTGTATGTTGTCGATTTACTTTTCCTCTGGGGACATCACTACTCGTGTTTGAAGGAGCTGCTTTGTGGATACAGCGCTTCATGATCGCCAGTGCAGTGACTGGGTGGGGAGCTGGTGATGTCTGTCGGAACCACGCCTCCCCCGAGTCACCACTGGGTGGTGCAGGAGATAGCGGCCCGCCGCACTTTACACTTGTTCACGTCTCTTTCAGGACGGCACGGGATCTTTAAAGCGCAGTGGTTCCTTTAGCAAGCTCCGGGCTTCCATTAGGCGTAGCAGCGAGAAGCTGGTCAGGAAGCTGAAGGGAGGAGGCTCGCGGGAGAGTGAGCCCAAGAACCCCGGGTAACTATCTCTTCCAGCCCCACTGCTCTTCACCTACACCCTAGCCACCTGGCCGGAGTGTAGAATCAGCCATTTCCGGTCAGCCCTTTCACAGGACAGATTGAGAAACCATTGTGAGACTTCCTGTTCAGAGGCCCAAAGAGCTGAGAAATTACTGTGAAGGCCTTAGCAATGAAAAGTGGGAATTTAATATTAAAACATTGAACAGATTAAATCTGCCTGTTCTAGAGACACAGGAAAGTGTCCAGGTGTCACAGCAGGTAAGCGCTGAGCAGCTACCCTTGAAAGGTCAATGAATTGAACCAACAGCAGCTCCCGGGAGGAAGAACCGGTGATTGCTCCCAGAAAGGTCACAACTTGGGAAACTCTCTGGGGCAGTTTTCCTCAGTCCTACAGTGTCACATGAGTCGGAACCGACTCCAGGACACACAGCCACATGCACATTATTTTTTACATCAGCGTTAGTTTCAATCCTTTAAAATTCATTTTATTTTTAAGAATCAAATGTAGCTAAACTGAATTCAAAACAGGTGAAAAACACTTTAAATATGAGAAAGAGTGCTTATCAAGACTAAGGACTTTTTTTAGGATAGTTTTAAAACTTTAGATATGTCACATGATTAAAAAAAAAATAATGGGTCTTTGAGCAGTAAAGTGTAAGTTGTCAATGGAATTTGGTCCCTAAAATATCCTTTGTGTTCTCTAAGGCCGTCCTAGATGGGTCTCTGTCAGCACTGGTGGCAGATTGCTCTGGGGGCAGTTCTTATGGGATCACTGGGCTTGTCAGTTGTGTGTGACCCTAACTTTCTAAGAGGTATCTGCTTCTAAAGATGGATTTTCAGTAAAGGCTGTTTGGAAATGACTGCTCTGTATGTAGGTTCTGTAGGTCAGAATTCTAATCAGCTCCGAGCCTGTCCCTTAGGCTAACGCGGTGGAAACCTTAACGTCAAGGGCCCTGCTTGTGGGTTCAGTTACTATTTTGACTTAAATTTTTTTTTTTTTTTTTTTGGTAAAAGTTGATTCAGGTCCTGCCCTTGCACTGCCACCTTAACCCAATCCTGAGGTCTTAGAACTCCAGGGCCCCTGAGGGGTGGGTAGCAAAGGAGGGACCAAGTCTGCTTTTTAGCATGCTGGGCTGTCTTCTCAGTGTCCCCTGCTTCCCCTGCAAGCTCTCTGCTCCTGGGTAAGACAGCTCTTCAGGATTGAGGCCGCAGAGCCACGTGTGTTTGCTTAAGGGCACAACCCCACTTCTGGGTAGCTCCTGTAACGGTGATTTCCGTGCTCGGGCAATGTGGGTGCTGCGTGAGCCTGGCTTCTGGGAGTAGTGGGTTCAGTGAGCTGCCCTCCTGCTTTCACGGAATCCCAGGGACCCCCAAAGACAAATGATCTCTCGCCGGGGAAAGTGGGTTCTGAGGCATTTCTGAAGTAAAGTGCTTCATATTTATTGAACCGGAGTGAGGGTACTGCCGCCTCTCTGTACATGTTGAGACTTTCTCCTGGTGGCACTGTGAAGAGACCGAGCTCTGCAGCACTTCCAGCTGGCTTTGCCCCTGTGAAGCTGACGAGGGCAGAGCATACACCCACCCTGGCTGTATGGGGCCCGGGGTGTTCGGAAACTTCTCAAGTGTAAAGCAGCTGTGGCACCCAGTTGATAACGGGGGTCTTGCTTCCCACGTGAGGGGACTCGGGACCTGCCTGACTTTTTCACATTTCCCCTCCACATTGATTGTGATTTTAGATGAGCCATGCGTGAACATTTCCTGACTGAGTTACTAGTGAATATGCTTGGAGCTGGGGTCCATGTATCCCTCTCCCACCGTGGAGCACACACATTCCACGCCCAACAGCTGCTTTAGACGTTTCATCCTGAAAATGCATAAAATGGAATCATCTTTCCAAGAAAGATGAACTATTTTATCAGTAGGCCAGTGGACCCCAAACTTGAGCATGCACCAGAACACCCTGGAGAGTTGGTTCAGAGTCAGACCTTGGGTTTCAAGAGCTCTGACCTGGGATCCATGCGGCTGTAGTCAGCTTTTCAGTGAGGCCCCGGGCTGCTGAGCAAGACGAGCAGGCAGAGGGCCTGCTGCTCCGTGCGCACAGTGCCTACCATTTCTTGCACTTCTGAATGTCCATGAATGTCCCTGAGTGTGTAAATTTCTCAGAGAAGTTAACTGGCCAACCGAATAATAGTGTAATTAAATATAGTCATGGGCAGTACAAACTGTTAATGCGCCCGGCTGCTGATCAGAAGGTTAGCTGTTCAAGTCCACGCAGAGGCACTTCATAAGGCCTGGCAAGAATAAAGTAATGGTTTTGTGAGTCAGAATCAGCATGAAGCTGGTCGCTAGAAAGTGGCAGTCCAGTTCATCCTGCTGCCCAACATCTCTGCCATCGGTCATTCCCCCCTCTCCCCAGTGATTACTGTCTCTGTGCTGAAGTGCACAGACGATACTTAGGGGACCACGGAAAGGTCTACAAGGTGGATGATTCAGGAAGCTTCGCTAGGCTGTGAGCCTGTCCATGAACTAGGGGTGTGAGCAGACCGCCGGCGCCTACTCGTTTCTACTAAACTCCGACATGGCTGGGGTAGCCCAGCTCCTCCCAGGGCGATTTCACTGAGGCCAGGGCAGGCGGTCCACTCCCCACCCCACTCTGCATGGTGAGTCTTTGGGTGGCAGGGCCTGCTTCAGGCGTCCATCCAGTGTGGTCAGCTTTGAAATGCCTCGGCTTCATCCTTTCTGGATCAGATGAAATGGAGCGGAGAGTCCCTGGCTCTGAGCCTCTTGCTTGGCTGTTGGCTTAATGTTGGGTGTCCGATGCACACTCCCTGGGTGTTTTTCCTGCTTCCTTGGATGTGCCGGCAGGAGCAGTGTTGTGGTAACCTGGCTGGCTGGTGGTAAGACCAGTCCTCTGGCCTTCCTCTGCGGTGCTCATGTCTTGCCCGCTGGCACCGTGACGTCACCAGGAGGAGGAGCCCAGTCAGATGTGCAGGATGTCAAGAGGGGTTGTGGGTAGAGGGACTTACTTAGGTCTCTAACAGCAACTGGGCAGGATTTAGTGGGATGCTTTGGGAGTGAGTTTGATCTAGAGGGTAGGTGGGTGAAACCCTTGGCTTTTGGTGGTGGTTCTGCCCTTCGTTTGCACTGGAGTCCGCTGCTTACCAGGTGGTGGTGATCAGCTGTGGACGCGGGTCTATTGGTGCCGGCTCCTCACTGCTCCTCCCTCGACGCAGCGATTGTCCTGTGCGCTCTCTGTGCAGCTTTCTTTCCAACACTGAGGCTGGCCCACGCATAAACCCTAACAGCCACTCTTACTGCTTCCAAAGCTCTGGGGGCTTTTGCGGAGGTTTCAGTGGTGTCTGGGAGCAGTTGTAGTCCCTTCAGGAGCATCCGTAGTTTACATACAGGGCAGGGCATAGGTAAAGCTGTAAGATCCTTCATTGAGTGTTTTCAGGGTGCTAAATGAGGGTTAAAGTTTTCTTTTTAAGGCCACGATGTCTGTGAAATATAGGCACTGGCTTCAGCATTTGTTTTACTAACAATAGATTGTTTCTCCTACTTCACTGCAAAGACATGGGCCCTGGAGTATATGTTTGTATCTGACCTTAGCAATGAGTTGAGATGCCACAAGAGTTGACCAGCACCCCAGCCAAGTGCTCAGCACCCCGGCAGTCCAGGCTTCAGAGTAAAGAGATAGCAGTCCACAAAGGGAACTCTGAGACAAACGAGGCTGGGGGCTCCTGGGGGGTGGGTGTCCCCCACGTATAATGGCCCCCAGGGCCTCGGAGGGGCTGCTTGCTTGTTCCAGCACCTGGCTGATATGGTTCTGACCGTTTGTCCTTGCATGTCCACTGCCGCGGTTGCAGCCTGAAGCGGGCCAGCTCTCTGAACATTCTTAACGTGGGTGGCAAGGCAGCCGAAGACCACTTCCAAGTAAGAGCCCCCCCTGCAGTCACCTCCTTCACTAAGGGCCGGCCGCTTCCTCTAAGCAGAGCAATGGCGGCCAGTTGTCCTGTCATGAGAATGGTCCGCATTAGATCTTGTTGTGCCCGTTGTGAGCACACGGTCTCAGTTTCCCAGTTAATGACCATTAGAAACATCCTGATAGGGTCCACTCAGAGCTGCTCTGTCCTGCTGCTGCTCGGTGCTTTCACACTGTCCCTAAGTTGACTAACGTTGTCATTTTGACACTAAAATCTTAAGCAAGCACTTTGTCCACGTCGCACACAAACGTTGCGTTTTATCTGTTTCACCTTCAAATTTAAAACCATTAGTCTCCATCAGAAACGGTCTTTTTGCTTTTTTTTCTTTGGTGCGTTCTGCCCATCACTGCGTCATTTACCCCAGCAGCCAATGCTCAGCCGTAGGGACCTTCCCTGATGTGTAGTTACAGGGCCACACCATGTGAGCCCCCACTTTAACCTGGGCTCAAACCCAGCTGGTGAAACATGTCCCCGTTGCTGAGGACCTAGAGGTGGGGCTCCCTCGCTGGGGATGGCCAGGAAGCCGCTCTGCCTCTGGAAGGGTTGTAGCTGGCGTGTCCTCTTGTTGGGGTGCCCCTGCCCTGCTGTTACTGCTTACGGCCCCGCGAAACTTGCTGCTTGAGGTTCTGAGTCAAGTGTAATTTCTCGTTTGTTTTTTTCATGCAGGAACGAAATAATTGTCTGGCAGACTCGCGAGCTCTGAGTGCCAGCCACACTGACCTGGCCCGCTGAGGGTCCGGCCAGAGCTAGATAGACTCCCCGAGACTAAAGAAGCGCCGAGACCCCAGCCCTGCCCCCTCGCCCTGCAGAGGAGCTGCTAGCCTAGCCTCCCCCCACCACGGAGTGTCTACTTTGCTAGACATTGATGTCCACCTCTGTGGACACTGGTGCCTGTCAGCCCCTCTGCTGCCCCGGAGCTTGAGAGGCAGCGGGGCGTGGGGTCAGGCAGGGGCACGGCGGTCAGTCTGCACGCTCGGATTTGCCCGCTGCTCACAGATGCACTTACTTTCTGCCATGGCCCCATATCGGCTTTTAATGTTAACGTTATAATGGGCTGTAAACGAAGAATCTGGACTCTTACACCACAAACTTTTGAATGAAAAATACGTAATGACCGGTGGCAGTCATGGTGCCACTGTGCTGGACACTTGGGCGCTGGCCCTGCTGGATGCCCCCACACATCCTGTTCTAAGCTGGATATGCCCGCACATTGGAGCAGGTTTCTCTCTTCTGGGGCTCTGGCTTGTTAAGTTTGTAGAGATTGTGTTCGTCTCTTCAGAACTTACTTCTTTGTAGTGTTAAGTACACAGGTCTTCTGCTGGTAAACATAGCATCTCCAGGTCACCACCATAGAGCGGCTGGAGAGCTAGAACTCAGCGGATTTGAAGGAAGATGCTCCCCTCGCTGCTCCCCTGGGGGCCAGTGCTGGCCGGGGTGCCTTCAGGCAGGGCAGGTCTCTCAAGGCTATGGAGTTCCGTTAGTTGAGTGGGGATCTCCCGCCTTAGCTGGGTGTGTCTGTGGACGGGTGTTTGCCCTAAGAGCCAGCATGGCAGGAGGAGTGGGCGGGGCTGCTGCTGTCAGAGACGTTTACACAAGTCACGGACTTGTAAGAAGACAATATAGTGGCTTGCCCCTGGCCTGTCAACACTGACACCATGGAGCTGTCCTTCCGTGCCCCCTCCCCAGGCACCCAGTGAAGAAGCTGACATGGTGGGTTTGACCACTGTCCCTGAGTGACAGTCCTCACTGAATAGGGTATCTGCAAAGGGTGATTCTGGGATCCCAGGTCCTGGCTTCTGAATGTGCATCCATGTAGAAGTGGTAACAACGTGATGGTGGGTGGGCTGGACCAGTGCCAGGTTCTGTGTTAAGTCACACTGACAGTGGACAGCTGCAGATGGACGAGTAAGTCCAGGTGAGGGTGTCAGGAGAGCCATGCTGAGGGTGCAGGGCCTTGGGTCTGGAGCAGTGCAGGGTGGGGTGAGTGTCTTGCCAGGTCCATCTTGCAGGTTTACAGTATCGGGAGAACTGAGGTCTGGAATTTAAAATTCCCTGCCTGTGTTTGCTCAGAACACTGCTAGGACTGATAGGTTGTTAGGAATTTGCTTTATAGTAAAGTGTCAGTGTTACAAAGACCGTAGAAGGGGCTGGCTTCTAAACCGGAATCTCTTGTCATAATTTGGTAGAATTGCTTCGGCGGACACATTACACTCACACAGCTACTTCGGGTGTGCCGTTTGCGGTAATGGTGGAGCAGTGAGCAGGCCTTGCAGGCCTTAAATCGGTTCTCAGTGTGACCTGTCCTTGTGGCAGATGCATCAGAGGGTGCTGTGGGCCCCTGGTTGAGTGAGGACATCCTCTGCTGTCCCTGACTCTTTGGAGGGTCACCTGCAGGCGGCCAGTGCATTGCTGGTCCCTGGCCTAGGGGCATTCACAGGAGGTCTGTATTCTACAGAATTCTGTCTGGGAACAGGGTTTTATTTTCTGAACTGTGGTATGACTCACTTCAAAGTACTTGCTTGTTTATGTTTATTTAAAAAATAAAGTGGTTCTTTCCCATTGTGGGAAGGCCATTTGGTGAAACCCAGCCCCAGCAAATCTCTTCCCATCTTGACATTGGCCCTAGAAAGACACGATGGCCCCTATCGCGGCTCCCCCTCCCCCCAGCAGCCAGGCCTCCGAGTCTCCTCACAAGGCTAGGGGCGGAGCTAGGTGCCCAGCGGCTCTGCGTCCATCTGGAGATGGGGCCACGGTTCATGTGGTGACAGGGAGGGCACTGTGATGGCAGCTTTTAGAGTGTTTATATGTTGAGCCATGTTCTGTCCGGCAGCTTGTCACACGCAGACCCTCTGCTCCTCCGTTCTCCACCCCCTACACTTGGGGGGCCGATGACAGGAAGATTGTTGGTGGTGGCCCACAGTCGGGAGAGGCTGGGTGACCACAGGGCTGCTCTGGGCTAGTGATGGAGACATGAAGCCCCTGGGAGTGGGGGTCCCAGAGGCCCTGCACTGTCCACCCCGGCCCTCAGACATGGATCACCTTCCTGTGGGAGGCTGTGCTGGTCCTGACCGGTCAGCATCAGACTCTCAGTCTCGTGTAGAGATGCATGTCTCCCAGGAACCGCACGACTCAGTCCCTGGTGTCCCTCGCACGCCTTCCATGCTGATGGTAAAGGAGCACGAGGCAGGGGGCAGGTGGGGTGCGGAGACCACCCGCAGGGTGCGTGCTGGGGGGCCCGGGGGTGTCTCCTGGAGGCCGTTGCGCTCAGCCGTCAGCCTCACCAGGAGCTGGTTGGACCAGGCCATCCCCAGGGCTGGGGAGATGCGCTCATCCGAGAAGCTGAGCCACAAAGCAGGCTGCCGTCACTCAAGAGCCCCCTCTCCATCCCGCACACCCCACATCCCCAGCGGCTCTACTCACCCCTGCGGCCCGGCAGGCCCCCGCTCTCCCACTGCTTCTGTGACCTGGGGGTTGAGCCGGGTGCTAAGCTGCTGAGGCCCCAGTCAAGGACACACCACCCAGCCGAGCCAGGACCCCGGACTTAGGGGCGGGCACCTGGTTGATGCAGAGCACGGGGCTCCAAAAGGTACAGCTCAGGTGACGCAGCGCGGCCCCCAGCGTCTGCAGGTGGCTAGCCCTGGTGGCTGAAGCCTGGCCGTCGAACTCGCAGCGGAATGGGGCGGCCACTGAGTCCAGCACCACCAGGCGGACCAGGCCACGTGCCAACAGAACAGGCAGTCGCCGGCCCACACACTCCAGCAGGGTGTCCTGAGGGTGAGGGGTCAGGTGAGGCTACGGCCTCCAATGCCTGAGCTATGGAAACCGTGTCCCCCTTAAATAGGACTCACTGGGATTTCAGCCTCCCTGTGGGGGACACGGGACCACCACACCCTTTGTGAGCTTCACCTACTCCCTGGGGGCACATGCTGGCCTGACCCTCCCACGGTGTCCCCATGGCCTCTGGTTACTGCAACCCTGGGTCATCCTGCTGTCTCCTGAGTCCATGTGAGGGTGGACACGTGCCCTCTGACTCTCTTCAGGGCCCAGGGGAGGGGAGGAGAGGGGAGGGGAGAGGTCAGTCCTCGTTGGCAGGTGTTGACCGTGGTCCATTCTCTGTCCTCCAGGGCGTCACTAGGGGACCTGCTTTCGGTGGAAAACGACAGCAGCAGCAGTGGCCTGGAAGACGCCGGCTATAATGTGAGCAGGTCCCTCACTGGGGGGCGGGCACCCAACAGAGCAGGGACGCTAGCCCGATGCACCTTGACCGTCCACTAGAGTGTGGGAGGCCAGGCAAGTGGTGACTACCTGCACCAGGTGGGGCCTGGAGCTCAGTCCTGGGGAGCAGTGGACGCCCCAGACTCAGTACCATATTAACAACTGAGCCACACCAGGACTGGCCTGATGCAGACACGGGCCGGTGACCCCACCTGGCCCAACCCACTGCTCCAAGTCCCCTGCCTGGGCCGGAAGCTGGTGGGGGCGCTGTGTGCACAATATAAAGTCTACCACGCCGCCGACCTGACCGCTTGTCCTTCCTTTCAGTAATGTCCTCTGGCCCAGGATGATGCTGTGTGCATGGCCAGGAACCAGGCCTGTGACAGCCGAGGGCCATGGCCACCACTGCGGCTGGGAGGCTAAGAGATAGGGTCCCAGAGCTGGTCATCACACTGTCGGACACCACGGACCAGCCATCCCCGTCCCCCTAGACTCGGTGTGAGACAGGCGTGGTGTCAGGGTCTCGGGGGCCTGTGCTTCACAATCTCTCCCCACAATGTGTGTGTGTGATACTGTATTTTACTGTACATTTAAAAATTAAACGTTTATATGCCTTGCCTCACATGAGATTCCCTGACAATTCTCTGGTGTAGGGGTGCTATGCTGGGGACACTGCCCTGGCTTGTTCTTAATTCTGAATGTTCTGGGTTTTATTCATTAAATAACTGTCTTAATCTGTAAGTCTGACCCGCACATGCCCCTGCCCCATCCATCCACAGGGAAACCAGCTGTCTCCCGAGGTGGTCCAGTAGGGTCCAGTCACTGCAGACAAAGGTGGTCAGTGACTGGGGCCCAGTCAGGAGGCCCCTGGGGGGTCTCCATGCCTGAGACAGCTGAGCACTCAGGGTCTCTGCATCTCCTTCATGGCAGGGGTGGGATGACAAGACATAGGAGATGGGAGGAACTTATGCGGCCCTGGCCCTTCAGGGGGGCCCGTCTGAGGCTGGAGCAGCATGTCAGAGGCCCTGGGGCTCAGGAGATCCTGTCGTCCCCCCCTAGGGGTGGGCTGCCTGGGAATTCGAAACCAGTGAAGGACTCACCACGTCGGCCACATGCTCCACAAAGATGTGGTCCCCAAATGGAATGGTGCTTAGCAGTGCCTCTGGGATGTCGGGCCACAGCTGGGCCTTGTGTGCCACAAGCTGCTGCAGGCGCTTGTGTGGGAAGGTGTCCTCCGTGCAGACGTAGACGGCCCCTTGGGGGACAGATGCTCAGACTCCTGTGATGGCTTCCTTCTCCCCCACCTTGCACTTTGTTTGCTCTGGGTAAAGGGGGGCCTAGGCAATAGAGGACTCGCCCTGAATGGTGGCAAACTCCAGGAGCAGCCGAATCCTGGGCTTTGTAAAGAGACTTCAGATAGAGCATGAGAGGCCCCGCTGACAGCCTACAGGAAGCACCAGTGCCCCCTAAAACAGCCGCAAGCTTCCCTCCCTGCTCCCCTAAACGAGATCAGCGCCCCATTTCTGGCTCTGTGGACCAAAGCTTGCAGGTGAGCACACATGTTCAAATGTACAGGTCTGTAATGCGTGCAGGCATGTGTGCAGACACATAGGTACATGTGTGTGGACATGTGTTTGAATGGGTACATGCCCCCCCACACGTAATTATGTGTGTGCAGATGCACTGGTCTGTGTTCACATACATGTCCACATATATGTAGGTACACGTATGCAGATGCATAGGTACATGCATGTCCCTGAATGCATACAGGTCCACATCTAGATGTAGGTGGTGGTGGTGGTTAAATGCTGTCGAGTTGCTTCTGACTCATTAACAACCCTGTATAGGGTTTCCTATAGGGTTTCCAAGGAGCAGCTGGGGAGCTTGAAATGCTGACTTTGTGGTTCAAACTGACTTTGCAGTCCAGTGTATTAACCCACAGTGCCACACCAAGACTCCATATATGTAGGTACACGTGTGTGCATATGTCTAGGTGTGTGTCAAGGTGTATTTGTGCTCAAATGTGTATAGTCCGTATATCCATGTAGGTACGTATGTGTAGGTGCATGTCATGTGTATAGTGATTGCGTGTGTGGAGATGCTGTGAGGGCAAACCTGCACAGGTGCCTGAGTGTGCATGTGACTACTACACATGTTACTGTGTGGGGCAAACCCACACACCCACTCAAGTGGCCTTTGCCCTGTCTGATCTGGCTGGTCAGGGGAGGCCAGCATCCTTACATCACTGCCCAGCTTCCCAGAGCCCCACTTTGCCTGCTGGCCCCCACGTGTGGAAGAAGAGAGACGTGGCCTCGCAGTGCCAGCTGCTACCCTCCCCTTTGTGGGAATCCCCCTCCTCCCACGGAGGGCACTTACCTGACTCAAGGCCTCCATGCTGAGCCGGGAGCTGCACAGCCAGGCAGAGCTGCAAGGCCAACTGGGTCTTGCCAGAAGAACTGGGTCCGGCCAGCTCAGTGATGCCGTCCAGGGGCAGGCCCCCGTGTAGCAGGTGGTCCAGTACTGGGCAGCCCAGGCTCAAGTGCTGGTGCTGTCCAGGGAACCGCGCCTTCTGCTGGAATAGCTGCAGTGCTACAGGTGGACAGGTGAGCAGGGCAGGGCTCAAACACCAGACCTGTGTGCAGCTGCCCCGGGCACTGCTGGCCTGACCTACGGAGCAGGGCCCCGCCATCCATCCTGGGGGACCATGAGGCCCATGTGGTCAGCAGCCTGGGGCCAGGGCAGCAGGGACTCGGGAATGGCTTCAAGGTGTGTACATGCAACACACCCAGCTCTTGAGTAAGTAGCCATGACAGGCATCCTATTCTAGAAGGACCCCGTCTGGACACAATGAGGCTGTGAGGTCACTATCGGCTCCAGGGCCCTATGGATGGTGGGTACCTGATGTAGGGCACTTCCCCACCCCTTCCTTTCCTCCCCTGCAGGCCAAGGCTGCAGGCCGAGGCTGAAGGAAAAACAGTGCTGCCCGTGGCAGTGGTGCCTGGCGGATTGGACTTCCCAGTTCAGTGATGTGTGGGCCCTATGGGCCAACCCACACGACTGTGGAGAGAGGGTGCTAAGAGACAAGGCTGGCACTCCCAGGAACCCTGTGAAGGTCCTGGGTGGGGCCTGATGGAGAGCCCCTGCTCACCTGTGAGGACGTTGTTCCCTCGGAGGTGTCGGGAGGCCGCCTGCAGCGCACGCCAGGAGTCGGTGGCAGAGAGTCCGGTCAGCCGCCGCAGGTCTGCCCACGAGACACGAAGGAGCTCCCTCACTGAGCACAGCTTGGCTGAAAGCAGGAATAAGTGACCCAGGAGCCCACGCCCAGCCAGCCCCACAGCCACAAACACGGTGCTTTCTTGCATCTCTTAAATGTGACAAAAAGTTCTTGGAAAAACCCCAAACTAGAAGAAAGTAAAAAAAGGATGCTAGAAGTATGGCCAGTCAATCCAAAAGAAGGCAAAAAAGGGCAAAAACGCTCACACAACGTGGGAAAAGCTCCCATCCCCAAGCTGAACTCTAAAGAAAAGGCTCAAGCCTCAAGTTAAAATATTGAAGGATTCTGTGGGCCAAGTCCTAAATAATGCAGGACGCATCCCAACGAGATGAACTATTCAGCCTGCAGGATGTTTTTATAAGGTACAGTGATTTGTTCCCCTTTCGGTAACGATAAGATCATAATGATGTCTCATATAAAAAATATTGAATATATCAAAAGTAGGGAATAATATCCCCAAAATATTATAATATGGACTGTGTTTTTTTTCTGGGAAAAATAGTGTTAATCAAAGGTGCCTTACCATTAAAATAAATAAATAAATAAATAAAGGGTTAAAATCAAGTCATGTAAATAACCAAACATACATATACATATAGGACACCTGGTGTGGCGCCGTGGGCTAATGTGCCAGACTGCAAAGCCGTTTGAACTGCAAGGTTGGTGGTTCAAGCTCACCAGCTGCTCCTCGGAAACCCTATACAGGGTCACTCTGGGTTAGAATCGACTTGACAGCACTTAACAACAAGAACAATACACACACACACATGTATAGTCCTAGTGTGGCGCTGTGGGCTAATGCATTGGATTGCAAGAATGACATGTGTGCCATCGAGTTGGTTCTGACTCATAGTGACCCTGTATAGGACTTCCAAGGAGTGTCTGGTGAGCTTGAACCACTGACCTTGCAGTTCAAACCGATTTTGCAGTCCAGTGCATTACCTCGCCGTGCCACACCAGGACTACGTATGTAGACTACCTGAGTATTTAAATTCCTTTTCCATAAATAAAAACTCTGCTTTTCTTGGTGACGAGAAATGAACTAAAAACTTCCAGCACACACATGGGTCACCATGAGTTAGAACCAACTAGACAGGAACAGCATGTAGCATACATGATCAGATTTAGTACCCGTGCCATGTGACCTTACAGGATCTATAACCAGACAGGAGACAGAGGCGAAATATTTGCGATTGCTCATACATAGGCTATATCTGTTTAAAAACTAGTAATAAAACATAGTTTTTGTCCTTGGCAACATAGGTTTCTCATTTAGAACACTTTGCAAAAAATTTATGTCCCAGTTTTTGGCAGTTGAAGTGTCCACATATTAATGGCAAAAGTTATGAGTTGAGAAATTGTCTCAGAATTCCTAAATAACGTTTCCACCAGGGCTATAGTTGAAAAATGAATTTTTTGCTTGTGTATAGCTAAAAGACAAACTTTATTTGGGGAGTATGTGAAGCTATATAATTCTTGCTTAACATTTTAAAGTCCTCAAAATATGGAATTCCTGCCACATTCTTTCCATAACTGAAAGCTTCAGTCATCATTCAGATCAACAAAGTTACTGCTACTCTGGAGAAAGGTCTTCTGCTCACAGCGTGAGGAAATAGCCTTTAGATAAATTACCACCAATTCTGTATTGAATGGAAATGGATATAAATAAAACTCAATTATGTCATTTAACTTACAAAACAAAATTCA